TCAACATTAAATAAAAAATACCTTTTTTCTGAAAATGTTGAGAGCATTTTTCTACTGCAGTTTAGACTGATAGTGAATAAAACGGTAAAAACTGTGTTGTCAATGGTTACTGAGTTTAATTGTACCGAACTAAATACATATTCCAGTTCGTTTTACTGCGCTTGTCGGAATAATGATGTGGACGAAGTGAAAAATTGCCTGAAAATAATCTCATTAGATAAAATAAATAAAATAGAAAAAAACGGCAGTACAGCACTGCATGCCGCGTCATTCTACAATCATTCTGAAATTGTTAGTTTGTTACTGCAATATGGAGCTGTACGTTCACAAATAAATAAATATAAATGTACACCTTGTGAAGAAGCAAAAACAAGTGAAATTCAAAAATTGTTTATTGGATCATCTTCTGGTAACAATCGATTTGGTGGAGATCAAAACAGCCAAATTGAATGGATGTTAGATGGAAGTAACGCTGAAAGGGAAACAGCTGAACAGCTTCAATGGTATACGAATGCGGGCAATATTATTAACCTTCAATGTCAATTAAATGAAATTAGAAAAGATTACCTTGATAAAGAATTATCTGACATGGAAGGCATTCAAAAAATACGTTGGTTTATTAATAAAGCGATCGAAGAAAACGATCCTGTTTACCTGTTGAAAGCGTATACGGCTGAAACTGATTTTTATAAAATTTTAAACAAACAGTTAGCTACGGTACACATCGATAGACCTGATTACAGAGAGAGTTGGCAAGCCAGGCGTCGAATTGTTTATATAATTAGTTGTGATCCGGATTTGGCTCAATTTCGATTTGCTGATCGAACATATCGTGGCATGAAACTGACAGAAAATGATCTTCAACAATATGTTGTAGGATCCCGTCTGATGAATAAATCGTTCATGTCGACCTCAAAAGATCGTCTAATAGCCAAAAAATTTGTTTTAGGAAACGATTCAGTAAAACAAACCTATTCTACATTATGTACATATCATATCATAAATAATCGTTCAAGTTTAGATCTTGGAGATATATCAGAATATGCCGATGAACGAGAAGTAGTGATTCTTCCCTATTGTCTATTTGAAGTGATTGGAATCAAGAAGCATCGAACTAAGCTCTTCAGTACGATTCAAATTGAAATTGAATTAAAACAATGTTACTAGCGCAAATTCATTGTTTTGATCTACAGAACAACTTCAGTAACATGTTAGTATAGCACTACATTTTCTACTCTGTTTAGGAAAAGGGCATCCTGATATTATTCAAGTCTTTTACTTTGACGAATATTCCGTTTTCTAGCAGAACACGAGCAACTGTGGCAAATTTGGGCCACTGTTCTTTTGCATAGCACACTTTTAATCTTTTCTGTGAAATGGCTATGATAACCTCGACTTTTCTTTTCGGTAAGATAATCAATGAATGTGAACGTTGACGGTAACTTGCATCGACTTGCAACTTGTACATAATATGGGTACAGACGTTCAAGGTGTGTTTCTAGTATTTCATTAGGCGTCAGCTTCTTACCTAATACTGTTAAGAGACAAGTTCTGACTGTTCCAGACAGTGAACATTCGCGTTTTTGACGTGTATTTCTATAGGTGCTTTCGGTATAGGAAACAAAATTTGGCTTGCTATTCTATTTAAAAGGCTTTCACTATCACAATAGCAGTTACACAGCATTATTAGATGAACAGATTGAGAATGAAGTGTGAGATTCTGTAATTAACTATAGATATTCTTCGTGTTCTATATAAGTGGATTTTACAATAAACGGGCAAGTATTTTTTGCTCCTAATTTGAACGCTCTCATTGAAAATATATTGAAATGACAGAGCTTCTGATATTCTGTACCTTTGCCATACAACAATGTTCCATCACCATCTCTGCTTACGCTATTTTTCCGCTTGTCATTATCATCGTAATTTACGGCACACAGTAGGCATCCAGGAGAACATTTAGGTAAAAAACATACAGGTCAACTTTTTTTTGAGTCAAGTGGTGATAAATATGACATTTATATAAAAACAAATTTTTAATTTTAATTGTACCTGTTTGATATAAATAAAATTACTAGAAAACCCATAAAGGAACATGACACAATATCCTGAGCAAAAATCTTTTTTACAGTTACAGTTAACCGCAACGGTTACATACCTAAATGTGTACAGAAAAGATCGACGAAACTTGTAAAGTGGAAGTAGGTTAATTTATGAGATCCAATGATTTTACTTTGGCTAAACATTATTATGCACTATTGACTGGGCAAGATGAATTTCCATTTAATCAAAATGAAACATCAATGATCGGTCAAATTATTGGTTATTTCTTTAGTAATGCAGGTGATTTTAAATCAGCCATAAAGCAATACAAAAAAAGTCTTAGAAATACAATGGTCCGACGTTCAAAAGAGTATTATAACCAACATCATTATTGGTTTGAATTACTATCATATGACAGATTATTAAACAAGCATTAGAGTATTATATTAAAGCAGCACTTGTATTATTTGATGATTAGTCATACCATTTGTAGAGAGTTTGCAGAGAATTTGACGAGCTATCTAACAGTATATTTCTCAAAAATGTATATTTTTCCATTATGACAGAAAAAATTACGAAAGGAGTATTTTAGAGCTGTTTTTGCCCTCGAATGCTTGTTTTGTATGTCTTTGATGATGCTGTGAAACTGCTATTGTGATAGTGAAAGCCTTTTAAATAGAATAGCAAGCCAAATTTTGTTTCCTATACCGAAAGCACCTATAGAAATACACGTCAAAAACGCATGAAGTGAAAAAACTTTATTTTCACTAAACTTACTAAAGCTTCGATATTAAGAAAAAAGTTTTGCCAACAAAAATGCTACTCATTCAGCTCTAACCTGTCCGGCGAGAGCTAGCTTCTGTTTCGTTAATGAGCTGTTAATCGAACAAAATGACCCATCTCTGTTCTATATAAGTGCATTTTACAATAAACGGGCAAGTATTTTTTGCTCCTAATTTGAACGCTCTCATTGAAAATATATTGAAATGACAGAGCTTCTGATATTCTGTACCTTTGCCATACAACAATGTTCCATCACCATCTCTGCTTACGCTATTTTTCCGCTTGTCATTATCATCGTAATTTACGGCACACAGTAGGCATCCAGGAGAACATTTTAGGTAAAAAACATACAGGTCAACTTTTTTTGATTCAAGTGGTGATAAATATGCTTCGAAGTGTGCTCTATTTGACAGCATAAAAAGTTAGCTTAGAAATCTTATGGAATGCGAAAAGATACTGGCCAAAAATCATCCTAAAAGCAGCGATCTCTCTAGAAAATTAGATTTCATACTAAATTCAGCGGAATTTCTCTATACGAGTCATCATTTTGGAGTAAGAACAAAATAATTTTCGTTAAGTGATTGTATGAACAGGTACTGTTTGTAAAAAGAGTGCGCGCTCTTTAGCAGATGCTCAAACTTACTGAAACCTTGTTAGAATGTTCTTCTGTCTGTCCTCTATCACTACATACAGCGCAATTTAGCGCAAACATTTCTGTGTCATACACTAGGTTTTTAAAAAAATATTAGTTTTTTTTTCCGGTATTTTCGACTTTCTCGTCTCCCGAACACTCCTAAGAAAAATAATGTCATATTTGAAATTAGCGCACAAAAATGCATCGAACAGCGTATAAAACTTCTAATTTTCTAGGAAAAAACTTTCTGAGAAAAATTTGGGCATGACCGGAAAAAAACGTTTGTTCGTTTTTCATTCATATGAGTTTTTGGATGCTGGGGTGTCACTTTTATGCAAAACGAGAGATCCCCGACAATAAAAGTTACATGTCCGCCTGCACTGTAAAAAATGCTCACTGTGCAACACAAGCAAGCACGCAGTATTAGCACGCAATGGATCATTAACTATAATATAATATTGTAAATTGGTTGACCGATCGAGTTTCAATCTGTAAGTATCACGAAAGAAATAGTACAAAAATGATTCATTCAACCAGTTTTCGACTGGAGATAATAAATATTTAGATTGTGCACTATTGTTTCAGTTCGAACATAGATGTTCAATATACTTATAATGTGAACATTTACCGGTGAAACCTCTATCGCTAATGGTATGACCGTAGTTCCAGGCATGTACTTTGTCTGCTTGCCTCTCTCATCCTCTTTCTCAGTTCGGTGTAAGACTTACAAACGGGCGTTATTTTGCTCTCTGTGTTTGTAGACTATCCGTCAGAACAAATATGTGGAGCTATATACCGAACTGAGAAAGAGAACGATGGAGAGAAGAAGATGAAATACACACATGCTGTTGTTGTCACTTATTTACTGTTAAATTATAACTCGACATAATACAGTATCGTTACAGTCGTTGTTTGTGTCATATGGATACAGACAACAGAATAATAAGGGAAAATTCTGCGTTGAATTTGTTTTTGATGTAGTGTAATGATAGAATATCGCCGAGATTTTATCTTTGTTTTTGTCAGAAAGAGCAAAGTGTTTAGTAGAGAAATATATAAAAGCATTTTATCAGAGATATTTCTCGAAGGTCACAAAAATCTGAGAACAAAAGACATCAGGAAATTCCCAATTTCGGCCACAATTTTTTTCTCGAAATATATTTCTTTGACCTATTATAAAACACGAAGAAAATTTCATTTTTGTGCAGCAGTAGTACCCTATCCTTACGTTATAAAACTCGAAATAAAACGAATAAAACGAAAACTTTTCTTATAAGGCAGAATTTTTTCGAAATTCGAAAGGTTGCGGAACAGTTTCTCGCTGCCTTTTTTTCTCAGGTTTCTGTGACCTTCAAGAAATATTTCTAATGAGCAAATATGTTGAGTTATATACCAAACTGAGAAAGAGAATGACGGAGAGATTAGAAGATGAAATACATGCATGGTGTTGTTATTACTTATTTACTGTTAAATTATGATTCGACGTAATACAATATCGTTACTGTTTGTGTCATATGGATACAGACTACAGAATAATAAGGGAAAATTTTGTGTTAATTTTGGTTTTGGTCAGTCTCTTGTTCAAGGTCATAGTGGTCACGTAAAATTTTTAACTCGGTGGGAAGAAATTTAAGGGGGATTGTAATGTGGTCCAATAAAACCCGGTGGTAAAAAATTAGTTTCACAGAAAAAACACATTTTGTACACAGGCTACTCTTCCCAAGGGCATTTGCCATCATGCTTATATCTCACGAAAAGTCATGGGAGAATTCTGGAAAATGTCTCATTGTGAAGAAAACACTTTCCTCTATCAGACTACTTATAAGAAAAATTTTGAATGCATAGAAAAGGAGAGGAAAGTTTATGAAACTAAAAAATTAACTTTTCTTCGAAGGAAAAATTCAGAAATGCATAACCTTTTGAAGAAAGGTCATGAGGCGTTGGGAGTGGTCTCATTTTGTAGCCGACACTTTCCTCTAAATTAGGCTAGACGCAGCTCAAAATCCGAAATTTTTTCAAAAAAGAGGGAGTACCCTTAAACAGTGAATAATTTTTGACATTTATTTTTCAGTCAAGGTCAACCACTAAACAATATTATTCGTCTTTGTTATACAACAATCAAAGTATCTTTTACTACAAATATCATGTTCAATTTTTTGTTGTCAAAATATTCTTGATCATGTGATTACTCCTCAACGACAAAGTGTTTCGTTAAGTTTGACAAGTACATTTTAAATAATTGAATTCATTATTCAATTTGGAAGAATTTACAAATATTAAAAAAATATGTATTACTACCCACGAAATGATTTGAAGCGGTTAACGATCATTAGAACGTGTCAAATATGAAAATAATCAAATGTTTTATATTAACCGTGCATTTTAAACATACGTGTAAAATGAGATGAGAGATGCGTTTTCTAACGTTTGAAATCATGCGGCGATGAACCGAATTAAAATAATTTTATTTATATCAAACAAGAACAATTAAAATTAAAAATTTGTTTTTACATAAATGTAAGTTTTTTGTTCGGCTCCCAAATTTAGCCGAATATCCTTATAGAACGCTGCAAAACATATTCCGGTCGTTATTCCTCTATTCCGCAGCTATCACAGAATATTTTATTTTATACCAGCTTTGCTATATATAGCTGTAGAGAATAGTCGGTTCTACCAAATTTTGTGGAGTAACTCTTTTTCCCTTAAAGTACTCGATATATCAAGCTTCAATATTCGTTTTCTTTTATAATTGTTTGTCAAAGATAATCAACCATCGTGTTTCGAAAGATTATTTATTTAGCAAGCTGGCAACAACACATTTAAAGCAAAAAGAGAACATTTCTTTTATACTTTATTCTGTTGTCTTACTGAGTGCAGTGAGTGCACACTTTAGAAAGAGCGCCTCACATCTCTTGAGATTATACATTTTAAACACTCATATTCAACGTTTTCAACGAGGAGTACCTTCAACTTGGAAGAATTTACAAATATTAAAAAATTATGTATTATGACCCATGAAATAATAACAACACCCGTTATATATACTTCTCTATGGAAAAAAAGTCGGATTTGACTCCGGTTACTAGGAAACTCTTAAATATCACATATTGTATAGCATGAAGCATGAGCTTTCTAAACAAAACGCTCGAAGATACCACAAGTTCAGAATTGAACTTTTTTACATGAACTTTGATCGTGCATTTCTCTTTTGATCCTTCATGTAAGAATCATTTGAACTTTGAAATACATGCGATGGCTAAACAATAGCCCTAAGTATAAAAACTTTCCCCGGTCCTTCTCTAACTGTAGAAGTTTGAAAACGATGATTTTTGCTGATAATGATTAAAGAAAATGATTCTGTCATAGCAGTTTGTGTTCAGTAAAAGTTTCGAAATATGGATACCTGACAGAGCTTTTCAAGAGCCACAGATTGTAGCGACAGATAAAAGATAATAATATTCATTACTTGCATTATATCTCTTCTGCTCAGTAATATCTGTACGCACACTTGTAATTTGATCTGGAATTCCTTCTTTTATGAACGAATTTATTCAAAAAATGGTCTTCTACTGCACAATTGTTCAAAGCAGGGAGGGAAAGCTGAGTAGTTAATGTATAAAAGTATTTATTCCAAATCTAGCATGTCCTGAGCCTCACCAATTGTTTTTAGATCATCCGCATCTGTACCACCTAAATTTTGTATAAAACTATCTAATTCTGTTAATTTTTTTTCAACTGCATCATGGTAAATTTTTTTACGTTGTTCAGCTAAATTTTTTAATTCTTGTTGAACAGTCTCTGTTTCATCTGTTAATTGTTTCATAAATAAATTTCTTTCTTGATCATCTTTAGCTGTTATCATTTTTGACAGACCAGCAAGACGTGACATAAAATATTTATTTGATATATCAACGTACGTTTTTGATAAAATAAATAATTTATACGATTGTTTATGAATAATAACAGCAGCATTTTTTAATTCATCAAGAAGAATAACACGATCAGTTTTATCAAATGTACCACCAGCTAGTCGTGTTGTTTCGATAAATGGCATCAATCGTCTTTGATGTAATGTTTCTGCTTGATCAGCTAAATTAGAAAAAAATACAACTAACGAATTCCAATGTGTACTTATACGACTTAAAAGTGCAATAGATTCACGTAATAATTCAATTAACTGTTGATAATTAATTTTAGTTATATCAAGTGAAGCAATTTTAGCCATTAATTTTGTCATTTCATCTTGATGTTGTCGAATATGATTGAACATTTCATCGTAACGTCGTTCAGCCTCACGTAGACGAGCTTGAGTTAATTCAGCTTTAAATTTTTCATTTTTTGACGAATCACCACCACCACCATTATTTAATTTTGGTAGTGTATCACCATTCAATGTTTCAGCAGCCGCTAATGTTTTCGCTTCATTGGCTAATTCCGTTAGTTTACCTGATGTAGTTTTATCAACTTTCTTCCCTTTCGATACAGTGCCTATGATTTGCTCAATTAGACCAACGGCTTTTTCAACGATATTTTTACCTTTATCTTTAATAGTGCTACTACTTTTGACACCATTAATCATTTTTAAGAATGTTTCAAATGATGATTTATATGTTTTCAGTTCATCTACTGCTATTTTACTACCACCAAGAGCACCTATCATCTTTTCAAAATTAGCAGCAAATGGTTTCATTATACTCAATGATTGTGCTATTCCTATAGATGTAGCTAAACCATCAGTATCGCTGGATTGTGATCCACCTAAAATACTAGCAGCTGATCTAACTAGACCAACAAATGCTCGACCTACATCCTGGAGTATTGCACTCCATCCTGTTTTAATTGCTTTAAGAGCTTTACTATATTCAGTTTGTGCTATTCTAACTGTTTCTCTAGCTTCATTATAATGTTGTTTTAATATCTGTGCTGTTTTCTCATGTTGCTCTTTCGTAATTAATGATACAGTTAAATCTCTTTCAACTTCTTTTAATTGTTGCGTTTTAACACCTTGTGTAACTGTTGTTAATTCAGTTACTTCTGCTAATAAATTTTTTACATTTTCAAATTTATCTCGTGCATCTTTGGCAAATTGAGCACAATCACGACTTGTACTTTCAATATTTCCAAGTGTTTTTGGTAGCAAATTTTCAATGAGACGTGGTGATGCAGCAGAAAGTATTCTCAATGATGTTTTAACATAACTAGGTATAATTTGCATGTTCAACTGGATTTTATTCATATTCGAGTGAGCTTGAAGGAAAGCTGACCAACCATCTAGAATATTTATCACTATAATTTTAGTTATATAGAAATAAAGTCATATACCATTCGAAATTTGTACTAATGTCGCACGAAATGATTGTGGATATTTGATATATACGAATTTGTGATCAGGTGCAGAATCACGAAATGAAAAATCGAGTTTACTCGAAAGAATCATAAGTTGACCGAGAAGATTGATGGCAACAGGACCGGGTGCAAGTAGCTCATGCCACTTTTCATCTGTTTCCGATTGACTAAGGATTTGATCATCCGTTACTTCTGAACCTACAACAGTTATCATAAATAAATATATGCGTGTGCCAAATTGAAGTTGAAAAGGCCTACTTGTAGTAGTAGATGCAGGAACTGCTCGACGTAATCGTGTACTGTTATTACTATTTATTATTTCATTAATAAATGGGTCATAATATGGATTTATGTTTGAATCAGCTGGTAGGAAAACATTCGTTGAAAGTGAATATTTAATCGATGTCGATTTGACAACATTACACATCAGAAATATGTAAAAACACAGAAGTAGTCGGCAACCTATGAATAAATGATTTAAAGTATACGTTAATTTTGATCAGACACAACTTACTCATGTATTTTCTTGCTGTTCACTGTTGGTTTTTGCGTGATATATCTAGAAGTAACGTAGCACTGTTCGACCAAAGTAAGTGAGATCGGAGGTAAAACACTTTTTTTTCATAAAATATTTTGAAAGAAGGCCACTCGGCAAAATCCTTATAATTTGTTAAGGCCCCCCTCCCCCCCCTCAGAAATTATCTCCGACACCATACATCCGATCTTGACGAAACTTTCCATAAATGTTTGGCACAATGAGTTACGGGAATGAAAAATTCTTTTTGTCTCCAAGTCTTACGGTTTAGGAGTTTTCCAGAGATCAAGGTCCAAAAAGCACCGTGAACGGCGTCCCAAGATTTTTTAATATACTTCAAGCTGGAGAGTTCGGGTTTGTTTTATTTTAAACTAGACACCTAACTACATCGACTGACCGGCGCCGATTTTTTAATTAAGCCTTTATTGATTTTCCAGGCAACCAACAACCTCCAAAATCCGAAAAAGCCTTCCGGATTTTCTAAAAATCCTCCGTTCGACAAAAAACTAAGACCTAATTCAAAACTCGACGCCGGTCAGTCGATGTAGTTTCTTTTCCTCTTTTAAACAAAAAAAGAATGAACTCTCTACGACAAACCCCTATTAAAAATCTTGGGACGCCGTTCAGGTGTAGCTCTCCTACAGTGAAAACG